CATCTTTTTGTCACACCATCCCAAATGGGGATCCATCCATTGCTGACAGCAGCAGAGTCCAGCCAGCATTACCAATGCCACGGTCCTAAAAGGAGCACCCAAAGTGGAGAAGGCTCACCTGGAGAATCATCCTCTTTATTTTCTAGCCGAAGGGTGAAAAAGCAACACAGTGCTTACAAGGGGATCATAATATTGTTGGCTTTCAGGGCTTCTCAAGTCTCACAGGCAGCAAAGGATGTTGGCATTGCTGCTGTTTTTGAAGCTAAAATAAGGCAGACACATGACTTCGGTAACTGCATGTGAAGTTTACATACTGTGACTCATCCTAATAAAGAAACCTAAACAAAACCCCAGTGTGTCATTGAAGCTGGAATATGTTTTCCATACTAAATTCTTTTAGGTTTGCTTTGGCTTCTTTTTTACAGATGTAGAACAGCAGAATATCTCAGGGATATTAACTCTTTGCTCTTGCAGGATAGAAAGTTCTGATCTTCATGAATGGATCTATATAAAACACAGGATAAGGTTATCTTATTTTTTAAACTCTCTGTCTCAACATCTTTTACAGCAGTGCCAAATGCTGGGCAAGCTGAGAAAACAAATGGAAAGAAGAAAGCAAAGGAGAAAGAAGGGCTCTATCCCAAGATTTATCAGGTTGTCTCTTAAAGAAGCTCTGCCATTTCCCAATAGCTATTTTATAATTGTCTGTAGGATAGCAGCAGGCACCAGGACTGATGTGTATGTAGCATGTGAGTTGCCTGCTGTATATGGAAAAGTGCCTAGGGAGGGACTGGCACAGTGGGAGGGGGAGCATGGCCAGGCTGGCTGTAGGCACCAGTGAGGAGGTTTGTCATCCTGCTGAGTCAACAGGAGACACAGCACCTCCAACGGGGCTTTTGCCTGCTGGGTGTTCAGCGTGAGGCAGCTGAAGTTATGTGGTAGGAGCCTATAATGACAGGCTCATGTGCATGCTCATTTAAGCATGGAATTCATTTTGCATGGGTGATCTGGATTACCAGCTCCAGACCTCTTCATCTGGAGTAAAGCTGGCACTGGGCTGGGCAAGGCTCACTGTGACTGTTTCTCAGGGCTCTCCTTGCAGCCCTTCTCAAGCCAATGCAGAAGGTAAGAAAAGCCCAAACAAAGCTTTCAGTTGGATTCAGGTTCATTTCAGAGGGGCAGCAGTGTTTGGCATCTGAGAAAGGAGCTGCTAAAAAGGGGTCAGGAGAAGGGAAAGGATTCCACTGCAGATGTATCCACCCCACTGTCAGCATTTCTACCTCTTCACCCTCCTCTGCCTTCCATTCTCATAGGAACTGATTCTTGGCTGGTATTTTAATTGTTTGACTTCCTATTTATCAGCACATTGTAATAGTTGATACTTCTTATTGTACAGGTCTAGTTGTACAAGTTTCTATCTAGTCAGTCACAAAATTTCTGGCATCTAGACTATTCCAATGAACAGGAAGAGGTAGGGTTTTTCTATCTTTGCAAATAACTTCCCAAGAAGTCATCACCAAACATTGCATAAACACACAGTTATCCTTGTCAGACTCCAGGACAAATGACAGTACAGCTAGAATCAGAAAGTCAAGGGAGTTTTTTGCTGAGTGGTACTAATTATATGAGTAGTACTGAGATAAACCTGGCAGAAGCAGTGTGGTTTAACTCTAGACCTTTAGCCTTAGAGAACTTTCCATCCTGTTCAACTGCTCCCATGTTCCACCATCTCAGGCCCCAGCCTCATACGGCCAGCCTTACTGAAAGATTCTTGTTGCTGTCATTTAGGGTCTCAGCAAGAGGAAGGGTCCAACTATACAAATCCCACTGGCAGGACAGGGCTGCTGACAAAAATGTTATATAATATAATGCAGTGAAGAGTTGTATAGCTCTTTTCTGATGATCCGAGGGACTCCTCTCCCAGTTTGCCCCTCAGTACCCACTGAACTATCACCTCCATCATGACATTGGATCATGATATACATAACAAACTTCTGGTTTAAAGTGCCAGGATAGAGGAACTCTCTTGTATGCCTGTTCTAAAATGTGGTGAACTCATGCTTTGGCTGAATTTTTGTATTTAAAAAAATATTTTTTTCAAAGTCATCTTAATATCAGAAGATAATTTTAATTGTGTCCATCTTTCCACTTTTTTATTGCAGTATTGGCTGTAATTAAACTTTAAAATACAGGGACACCACTACCTGACATTTTTTGTCTCCTTTCCAAACAATATCTGGATCTGAAAATTAATAAAAGGAGATACACCTTTTCAGTTCTTTGTTTAGCTCCTCTGGCTTGTTTTCAGGTTTTTACAGTGCTTTCCAGGCTCTCAGTTTCACCTCCCTATTTTTTGGTTCCCTGAGCTTATGTGGTGTCTTTGATGCTGCAAAAGGGCAAGGTAAAGTGCCAAAGGAAAAAAAAAAAAAAGTAAAGTACTGTGATAAAAGGACAGGCATCACCCCAGGGATTCATGTCCTGAAACATCTTTAAAATTCTTCTTAAAAACAGGCTAGTTGGAAGCTGACATGTCCTTTTAAGGACAGTTTATGTTTAGAAATCCTGCTTAGTCTTATGAGCAAGTTTTGGCTGAGCACAAGTGCTAATGACTTTTTGAAATGAAAAACATCTCTAAAGACAAAAATAGCTAGCACTGAAATCTCTCACAGTCATTACTTACAATTGCTGTGTGATCCCTTGTCCAGATTTATAATGGTTGCTCTCCATGCCAGCAGAACTTACAACTTTGTGGATTTGTCTATAATGTTGTAATTAAAATCAAGATGATTTTCATGGGCCCCAAATAATTTGTAATTCTTGTGAGAGCTCTGTCTTTTAAATGGCCTTATATAAGATGTAATCTTCACTGACCTAAGCATGCATACACAGTTTTCTTAATGCTCAGTGATGTTTTCATCAAGGAATTATATACCTTTGGGGTTATTTCAACCTGATGTGTTTAAAAACAATTTTCCCAGCCTTTCTCAAGAATTTATAATGTGTTTAAGTTATCTTGAAGTAAAATACTCCTTTTTCTTCTGATGGGTGCCTCCAAATAGCTTGTGTCCCTTAGTCCTTCTATGAGAGTTAAAAGGCTGACCTTGAACAGTCCTTTCTTTCCTCCAGAGCAACATTTTCCATTTTACTGCCCACCCACTGGCAACACATTCTGGGGACCCTGCAGTGACTCCCCACCATTTCCAGAGCTGTGCAGTCTAAAGGCCAGAACCTTCTCATTCTCCCTAATTCTGGGATCATCATGCAGTATAAGCCCCAAAATCTGATCTACTACTAGTTCTCCATATTTGTTGGAGGGGTGGAATGTTCCTTATCGTACAAAGAAAAGGCCAGACTGGCATCACTCACACACTTAACATGGCAGAGCCATGTTACAGTCAGTGAGGGGCAGTTATATGGGAGGGGTGGAGAGCTGGGTCCTCAAATGTGAATTTCTTCCTATTGGAACACACAGCTATTTTTGAAGCCTGAAATTCCATCAACAGGATTCCTCTATGGATACTTTGTCATTTTAACTCGTCCTTAAAGCTCCTGTTGGGGGGATATCTCCTGTAAGGTGTTTTGAACCTTGAACCTGCTTGTGTCTGGTAGTATTAATAACCCAGGGCAGGGAATGTTTATGTAGCACTAAGCACCATGGCAGCACTTAGTAAATAATGAAATAGATCGAAGGCTTTGTTTCTGTTTAAATACTGTGTTTGCCTTCTGTGGATATAGACCTGGATCCTGCTCAACAACCTCATTTGGGTGAAACTGGATATTGCACCCCTGTTATTCCAGCTCCTTTAATGTATGGCAGCTGTACAGACAATGCACTGCTTAATGAAGAACTCAGAGTCCCTCATTTAATGCTTTTTTTAAAAAGCCAAAATCCATGGAACCTGCACTAAAAATATCCAGCAGGATTCTTACTTTTGATACAAATACACATTTTATGGAGAAAAGGCAAGAAGCGATTATGTCCAAATCAACACTTGCAGTGTACAAGGACCATTAGGGTCCAAACTCACTGCTCCACACCAGAATTCCAGACATGCACTGAAAATGCCGGGCCTGAGAAGTTACTCTGGCTCCTAAGGAGGGGATGCCCAAGCATATGAGAACCAACGTACAATTAGAAACGTGAAGAAACCTTTACTATTTAACTGCTTTAAAGCAATGAGCAGAGAAAAATTGGGAAGGCCAGAGTCATTGCATTCTATGATCTTGGCCTTCCAGACCACACAGGTGCAGAGGCCAAGGGGGTGGGTGCTGTAGAGAGGGGCTGTGTGTTTTCCTTCAGAACAGCCTGGAAGCTGCTCAGGAATCCCAGCACTTAGGACTTGTCTCAGAGAAGTCAATCTGCGGTCGACTGTGCCTCGCTCTCGTGTGTTTTTAATAGAAGCATTTAAAATAATTTCAAGATTGAGGCATGTACAAGTTAAACTTTGAGTAGAAGCTGGAGAACAAATAGAGCCGTGCTAAATTGGTTTCTGGTACAGCCTCACAATATATTCAAGATGCTAGCTAATCCCAAGTGATCCCATAAAAATTAATCTCCTACCACCAAGTCAGTCTTAAATTTGTAGGTGAGGTTACTATAGTCTCAGCCTGATTGGATCTCTTTTCCATCAGGAATTGGCAAAGCCAATAAAATCTTTATGGCTAAATTAATCATATTTTATGTGTGATATTTATAATTGTCTGTTTTGTTTATAAAGTATAAGTAAATATAATCTCTATAAATGTCTAACCATGCATTTATTGTGGAATAATAACACTTATATTAATTGAAAGATTAATACTATTTGTCCATAACTTCATTAATGCAAAGTAAGCTGCACTAAGGTGTGGAATCCTCTGGATCCTGAGATGGGCCAAAAGATAAGAAAGGACAAAATTCACCTCCAACAACCAGTGAACAAGGAGTTAAGGTACTAGAAACTGAAGCCTCTACAAACCCAGAGTTAAAAGCCTCTGCCAATTCTGGAATGGAAATTAAAGCCTGCCCCTACCACCAGGAAGTGACAGCAGCCAGGGGAAAATGGGAAGGGAGAAAGGAACGGTGAGGTGAGAGACAAAGGCTATAAAAGCCCCGCGGGCTGCAAGGTGAATTCACCGTCCATCCCCGCGGGCTGCAAGGTGAATTCACCGTCCATCCCCGCGGGCTGCAAGGTGAATTCACCGTCCATCCCCACAGAAGGCGGAATGCCCTGTGAGCCGGCCGGCCGTCAGCAGGCTGAGCTCCCGCAGCACCGGCAGCCGCAGCGGGGCCGGCCCGGGATGCGCGGGGGCCGGCGAGGGGCTGCGGCAGCGCCCGTGCGACCGTGCAGCCCGAGCTCAGGGCAGGAGAACCCCGCAGCGACGGGCTGAAGGCGCTGGCCGGGCAGAAACTGCAAAGGGAGAGGCAGATGCCGCTTTGCATGTCTGGGCTGGTGCGAATTCATCAGGCTCCGAGCCAGGTACAGCGCGCAAGTAGCTCCTGTTCGCTGTGCCTGACCTAAATCCAAGTGTTGCTTTGTCAGGTTTTAAGCAACACGTGTTCTGCTCGCCTCCCGTGGGGTAAGGCTGCTGGAGCCGGGTGTTGGGCTGGGAACCTGATGATTCAGCCGCAAAGTATGAGAGGGCTGTCCTGCAGCGAGGGGAGAAGCGGGGACACGGAGCCTTGCTGTGGATTTTGTGGTGGTCAAAGGTTTCGGTTCGCATCAAGAGAATTCTTATCTGCAAAGTTTCGAAGGGCTAAATATAGACCAGCCTCACATGGTAGATGGCAGTGAGGCTCTGCAAGCAACCCACTTCCCTGCTAACAGTGCTGGTGGGGGATTTCATGCCTTGTTTGTTTATTGAATAGTCGTTTTTCAGGATCGACATCAGTCAGAGCCCAGCCCTGCAGCTCTCCTGTTTCCCATTCCTTAGCAATGCCCCCCCAGCAAGAATGCACAGCCAGCAGGAGTGCTGGAGCTGCCCCCAAATCCTTCATCCCCACTCCCACTGGCCTGGGGGAATACAGGAGTATTACACAAGAGGTCTTGGGCTGGTAAGATAAACATCTGCTATTTGAGACTGTGCCTTAAACCACCACATTGCCATGAATGACGTTTTCAATAGCAGGAAGCCAGAAATTACGCAATAGGAAGACTGAAGACTGCCAGCACTTCTGTGATTCCTGCTGCTGGCTGGGGCACGAGGGAAGTCCTCCTGGTAGGAAATCGGTGTGATCCCACTCACTGCAGACCTGTGGGATCACCAGATCCCACTCACTGCAGACACCCATGTCAAGACTGAGCACTCTACCCACAGATGATCCCAAGGTCCCATCCTCAGTGGAAGAACAGCCTTGGTGTTGAAGGCAGAGGGTGAAGGTGTCATCAGTGAGAGATGAGAAGACTACAGCCAATTGAGATTGTTGCTGTGTAAATCCACTCGGGCCCCAATCATGACATGTGAGATTTTTCCAGGCAGTGAAGACAATTTCAAAGATCCACATTTGAGCTCTAACCAAACAAGCAATTGAATAAAAAATAAACAGTCATAAAAAATAAAATCTCTGCTTATATGAGATTTCAAGAAGACGTGACAAAAATGAGTTTATGAGAACATAGAATAGTCTACACCTATAAACATCTTTTTGCTTTAACTGCTGCCCTGCTGGGGGGTTTCCAAGGCCCTGAGTGCACAATAGCCCTTAGGAGCCAAATCTGGGACCCCCATCCCAGCAGTTTCTGGCTCTGGAACGTGGCAGGGAGGGCACTGCACCCTGCTCCCACTGCTTCCTGACAGGTATCTAAAAGAATAAAACCAGAAAAATCTCAAAAACAGACTCTATGAATGCTGTCATACTTGCAAAGCAAAATTAAAATTAGTGCTGCCGCAGAATGACAGACGTGGAATAATATGCCAAAAACTAATTCTTGAAAGAAAGGAAATGTGTGCCTCCAGTACCTGAATCAAGATCTCAGTGTACAATGGCACAGGCAGAGAGGCTGTACAAAATCTTTAGTTATTTAACCACTTGTGCGTGTTCCTGTGGGAAGGGAAATGACAGATTCGTTTTCCTGTGGAGGATTCATTAGTATGCTGTGATTGGTGAGTCAGTATTTTTAGCTTAGTGAGCTCAAGATGTATTGTGGTTTAGGCCTCACAAGTTACCAACTCTGGGTAACAAATTAAAAGGGGGGGGGGGAAAAAGAAGAGAGTGTGTTAGGAATAGAAGAGTGATTTTTTCCAAGCTCTTTTATGAACCATCCTCCTCACTTGTTTAGAATTAAGTGCCTATTAACTCCATTTCGGGAAGGTGGTGATTAAACCGGGTCAAATGGAAGTGATTAGCTTGGATTATCCCTGTCATGGAAAAATTCACTGGAAGATCTAAGAGGGAGGAAATTGCCTCCAAGATCCCAGCAAGTTCTGTTGGAAGGTGGATGGATTTGCTTTTCCCCCTGCAAAAGAGCCTTGGCCCACACAGGATCCCTCTAGATACCTCAGACTTGCTTTGAATTTGTTTCAATCTTGGAAATTTCCACAGGTCTGCTCCCACTTGTATCTGTCACCTCAGGTGAGAATTTTGGAAGCATCCCTGGAGACTGAAGCTGCCTTTCCTCAGAGGTCTTTAAGGTCTTTAACCCTTTCACTTCTGGTGCTAAAATTTACTAAGGAAATGTTCAGATGGACAAGGAATATTAATAATAACAACAATAATAATGATTAGTACCACTGTGCCTGTTGAGAGGGCAAACTCTGCAAGGCCAGCAACATGGCCCAAAATAGAGAAAATAAACCTTGTGATTGGGTCTGGGTTGAGAATTGGGAAGACATCCTGTCAAACCTCTCTCTCAGCACAGCCTCCTCAATTATGTGGTCCTGCCACAGAGAAACAAATACTTTGTGACTGCCATGATTACTAAGAAATAAGCAGTTTTTTATTGCAAGCACTGAGACACAGAGTTTGCTGTGTATCCAAGGGGTTGCTTCCTCCTGGTGGCATCTCCCAGTGCTCCCTGCTTGCCTGGCTCTGCTGCTCTGGTTTAAGGAGGGTTTCAGCTGGCACCATTTCATCCCCCCTCTGCCACAGCACCTCACCTCCTGTGCTGTCCCCAGACCTGCCCTGGGGACAGGGGGGAGTGCTCTGTGTGTGCAAACGTGTCTGTGCACCAACATCTGCCCGTGCTCACAGCTGTGCTTACTTTGTGCTGCGTATAGAAGAAAAGAGGATTATTTATGATCTAATCACGATGTGTTCCCCAAGCAAAACATTTTCTGCTCTGATTTATTGCTCACTTTAGGCCTGCCCCCAAGCATTGTTCTTATATTTGGAGCCAGTCGCATTTTTTTCCCATTTGGAAATGGAAATCCTAAATGTAATGGCATATTTAATGGAAAAAAAACCCCGACAGTTACTTGGAGGGAGGAGGAATTTTACTTCTCTATTTACCCATTTTATGTTTGTTTTCTTTCTCACCTCCTTCCTTTTATTCTTTCTCTTATCTCTGAAAAAAAGGAAGGAAAACCACTATTTGGAGGCAAGGTAGGAGCAATATTTTGTCCTCATTTTCAGTTAAGAGATTAGAAAAGTTCAAAAGTTTTACCCAGAAAAAGTCCACATGAAAAGTACCTGTCATTTTCTGATTAGCACTGTGATACTATTGATCAAAAGTATCCAGCCAATGAACCTGTGTAAATTAAACACGCTTGTGCACTCTATGGAGCCAGCATTTCTTGGCAACTACAAAAGAAATGCTTTTTCTGTTTTAATTCAGAGAGATTTACAAAGCTTATGCAACTGGCCTTAGAGCTTGGGTTTCTTTTTATCTCACAAATATCAAAAAAGAGAGGTTCCCCCCCACCCCCAGCCTTCTCTTGCTAAAGGACTTCTCAGAGGACCAACAAAATCAAATTAGTTTTGTAGGCTGCACTTAGAAGATAGAGGAGAATGCAGGTCTTTAACAAATTGAGCTTTTCTCCCATGTGTTTCTCAGGAGTTTTGATTCAATCAATCTCAGAAGAGTTTTTACACAGTCTGAATAAAAATTCTTTAAAAATCTATTTATAAACCTTTCTCCCTTCCTCCATTTCTAATTCCCCTCAGTAGCTCAGAATTCCTTACTGTTTTGAGGCATGAAATCCCTTTAGCTCTATTGCCTACACAGCAAAGGAAGAGAACAAAGCAAGAGAATATGAAAAAGAAAACAACCCCCAAGAAAATAATTAGATTTTCTTTTTTCAAAAACCTTATCCATCATTATGCCATAAGAAAACAACAACAACAAATTATTACCAAAACATATACTTTTTCCCTGTCTTGTGGGAACACAGACATCTATCAAGCAAGAGAGAATCCTGTGCTATTGTGTTTGGTTACTAAGATGGATGCACAAACTGCCCCGGCTGTAGCCTCCAGGAATGTTGTCACCAAACAAATGTTGCCATTGAAGTGTTGGTAGGAGGTACATTAGGAAATTCGAGGAGGAAAAAAACCTTTTTTTTTTCCCCTTGAGAAGGGGGGTGTTGCGTAGGAAAACCAGCTAATAGCTAAATCTGGAAGTACAGCTGGGTGCTCTTAAATTAGAAATCTTTAGGAGGTCTCCCACACATCCCTGCAAGTTTGCTGAAGAGTTGTGCATTGCTGCAGATATGTTTCACCTCCTCCAGATTTTCTGTTTCTTGCTAAACTTCTCCATGGCTTTAAGCCTCTCTCTGTTAACTCCCCAGTGTCTCTCTGGCCAGGGTCTCACTCCTCTTCCATCTCTCCTTCCAATTCTCTTAGTTCCTTAGTATGGTTTCAGTCCTGTATCTCAGCTGCTCAAGAGGACAGAAAATTGGCTCAGTGGATTTCTCCCCTTCTCCATCAGCTGTCCCCGTTTATCTCATTAAGAAAAAAATAAGATGATCCAGACATATGAGTAAAAAAACCACTTATTTTCTTACCCATTTTCTTGCATCACTCTCCCCTGCAGGCAATTTGATTGTTGTTTTACAATACAGGCAGAAGGTAATTTCCCTACATACAGTGTTGCTTGGCCCTGAATCTGGTGGATTGTCAATTTTCCCCTGTTTGCAGCTGAAAATAATTTTTCAGAAAAGATGGTCCTGCTCCAGTCTGAGACGACCAGCACAGGGTTTGAGCTCTGCCTTGCAAGGACTCGTGCACAAAAGGCTGTGTTCTGCAACTCAAACCCACACAATTTTGATACTTGTAAGCAATGGGATTATCTCACCAGAGAGTTGGACAGTTTTTCCAGGATCAGTGATTAGATCAATATATGGTTAGAGATACGGGAGAGAAGTAGCTCCTCTCTTACTGTTGATACACAAAGCAAATTTCTTTTAAAAATGTGAATACTTACCAGTTACTGTGCAGGCTTTGAGGCTGCTGCACACAGGGAATTATTATTACCGCGTTTAGTGGGAGGGAAAGAACAACAACAAGGAAAGAATAATAACCAATTACTGTTCCTCAATGCCTTCCTCGCTAAGGCTAAAATGGATCTTGGTTTGAAGCTAAAATAAAGCGGAATTCTCGTGCTCATTGTTTCAGGAAGGAGCCGCAGAAATCAGGCGCTTTGTGCTCAGGGCCTCTAGAGGTCACCAGAACCTAATTAATGAGCAGAACGTGAAGTGCCAATTGCTTTGTTTTGATGGGGATTTTCCACCTCGGCGGCTCTGGGTCTCCCCTGTCCCGAGGAATGCGGGAATAGCCGGGAATAACAGGAAAGGCCGGCAGAGCCATTCCCTGCCGGAGAGCCCGGGCTGCGCAGGCGGCAGCTCCCTTTGGGGCGCCAGGCACAGTCACTGGATCGGCTTTTGTCCTCTGCCCTGCTGGGATTTTATCCCGTGCTGCTGTGCTAAATCCCGCCCTGGCACTGCCCGAGTGCCCCTGGGCAATGGCTCTGCCACACCCAGGGAATTCCAGGGGCATTGCCAAAGCCGGGGGTTGCCAGGAGAACAGTGACTCAAAAGGGGACACGGCCAGAATTCTTCTAGCATGGTTTATTATTCTTCTACCATTCTTCTAGCATGGTTTATTATTATTCTTCTACCATTCTTCTAGCATGGTTTCCTTCCAGGTCACCCTGTGCTGCATTTACAGGGAAGGTTTGAGAGGAGAGCTGCAATTATGATGAAGTGGTTGTCATGTGGTCAGCGACCTCATCTGCTTCATGCAAGAGCAGAAGGGAAAGCTCAAGTAATTTCCCTGGAATTCCCTCCAGAGTTTAGGAATGAGACAGGCTAGGAAACTTGGTACAGCTGAGGGAGACTGTTTATTTCAAGACAGCAAACAGAAGCTGATCCTTTCAGGAGAAATTCCTCTGGGGAGAGCAGAGGTATTTATTTTGGGAGCAGTCAGTGGAACGGAGGCCTGTGGTGTCTCTGCAGAGGACTTTTCTCTCTGGAAAGGCAGGAGTGCTGAATGCAGACGAGTGGCCTGTATCCTGCCAGGATGCTGAGGGTGGTTTGGGGGGGCTGCTGCAAGAGGATCCCCACAAAGGGCTCCTTTGCTTTTGGGTACAAGACACTGCAAGCCCAAGATGTTTCCTCGGAGTCCAAGGAGCTTTTCTGGATGCAGAACAGGAGATGAGGCTTTGTCCCCTCTGCAGTCCCTACAGGAGCCCCTGGCTGTGGCCCTTCCCTTGCCAGGTGGCAGCAGGTGACTCCCCTGTGCCCTGCTCTGGAGCAGCAGTAATGGGATCTCCCCGAGGATGTTTGCTGGGATTAGCAGGTGTGTTATTTTTGCAGACTGGAACTGTGACGCTGCAGGTTGGCAGGAGTCCACATGTCAGTTCCTAATCCCAGGCAAAGCCCTGAGAGGTCAATAAAACCACAAACGGAGGCAAGTGCCCACCTAAAGGAGGTCAGGATTATATTCCTAGTAGCATACTATTCCCAGAGAGAAAACACAGCCATTCTTTATTTCCTCCCCTTTCAAAAGATGCACAGAGTTAAGGGCTTCCCTTCTCAGTTCCTTTTCAAGGCAGGGTCCTAGAGAAACCTTGCTGTTTCTTCCCCTTTTCCAAACAGCAATCTCATCAAAATTTCTTGGTGGCTGCCATCTGTTGCAAGCAGAACACCACCCCTTTTGCTATTTACAGTGCAATTAACCTTCAGCAAATTAGCTTGTGACTGTCATGAAAGGATTAATTAAGGCAACACACCCTTGACTTGTTCCCACTGTGCATTTATGCGGGTGCACCCACAGCTCTGCCAAAGCCCTTCCAGAATCAAGGGAGTAGTTTTTATCCTTTATTATCCCAACAAATTAGCCAGCCAGGGGAGATGCTTGAGGGATGGGCTCCAGCAGGCACAGTCCCATGGAAGTAGCTGTGGAGATAGAGGACCTGGCCTTGCCCAGCAGTGTGGGTGCTTCCCTGTGTCACTGCCCTGGAATCAGGATGTGGGGCCATGAATCAGCCAGCTCAGCTCACAGTTGTAGTTGAAGCAGCCAAAAGATGAAGCTGCTTCCAAAATATCAGGCTGTGATGTGCTGCAGCCGTGCTTTGGAAGCACAGCCTATTTTGCCTAGCACCATCAGACTTCCATCTGGATTCCCGTGCCTGGGAGACCAAGGCTTCCTGAGAGCCCCAGACCCCTGATCTGTGCAGGTGTGCAGGATGTGTCTGGGTTAGCCAGACAACCCTGTTCTTGCTCCAGGCTTGGAGAATCCTTAGGGAGATTCTCCCAGCTCTAGCACAGCCTGAGTACTGATGGAAAAATAGGCTTTGGCCAGAGAATTCCAGCATGGTGGCCCTGCCTCTGCTCCTCTTCCCACCAGCTGTAACTCCTGGCAGAGAAACAGCGAGACTGGTAAAGGCTGTCATGTCTTAAAGCAAAGCAGCTTCTTGTTGTTTAATCCCAGATGGCAACTAAGTACCAGCAGCTGCTCACTCACCCACCTCCTGCTTCTGTGGGATGAGGAGGGGAATTGAAAAAAAGGCAAAACTCATGGGTTGAGATAGAACAGTTCAATACTTGAAGTAAAAAATAATAACAGCAATAATAATAGGAAAAAAAGAGATGCATAAACCCCATGAGGGACAAGCGATGCAGAGTAGAGCTGCTCACCACCCAGCCTGTCCCTGGGCAGTGGCCAGCCAATATGGACAGTTCATATGGACAGACACTCTGTGGTGAGGAGTATCCCTGTGGCCAGCTTGGCTCAGCTGTCCTGGCCATGCTCCCTCACAGCTCCTCACTGGCAGAGCACGAGGCACTGAGAAGTCCTGGATTTAGAGTAAGCACTGCTTAGCATGCTGATGTTTTACTTGTTGCTGTGAATGTTCTCATACTGAATCCAAAACACAGCACTGTACCAGCTACTGGGAAGAAAATCAACTCTCTTCCAGCCAAAACCAGGATACAACTGTAAGAGATGATGTCCTGAAGGCAAAAATCTCAGGGCTCAAAGCTGCACGAGAGCAGCTGCTGCACAGCAGTGCAGTGCCAGGGAATACCTGCATTGCTTTTGTTCTGCTGTCAGGAGCCCTGTGGCTCACACTGTCTCGCCCAGCATGGGCTTGTCCCACTGTATCTCTGGCCCTGCCACCTCCTCCTCAGGCTGAGAAATATCCCACAGATTGGATGTGGGAGATGACATCAGCCCAGGGCCTGGGGGCCTCTTTTCAAACCACAGCATCACCTCCACTCCTCAAAGTTACAGAGAATTATGATCCCTGGTAGTGCTCCACACTTGTATTTCATTGTCACTGAGATTCTTAGGGCACGGCACACAGCCACACTGTTCTGACAAACCTGGGCAGTATTTTTTATTGCCATCCAATGTAAACCACTCACTTGCATTTCTTTGGATCCATTAATTTTGAAAGCACAGCTAAAGTAAATAAATAACCTTGTTTTGAGCTCAGTCCATGCTTGGATGTGCCAGGTAATACAATGTTGTTATTCCTTGATGATGAAAGTGTTAACTAATATTGTCTCTTATAAGAAGAAATCAGGTATAAAATTACATCATCATTAATGAAGTTCTGTCATCTGTTTGCATTTCTTCTCTGATTTCTGAATGTTATCTGGGCTGGAAAACCTGGAGGCTTTCAGGGTTTTGCATTTGTGTGTGCATCCTAAAGAATCTTGAGTGCATAGGGACCTAGATGCATACTATTCCCAGCCTCCTCCTGGTTTTCTCTGATGGAAAAATACTTCAGAATCTGCTTGGGTGGTACCAGCACTGGGGCCCTGGGCAGCAGCATGCTCTGATCCTGAGGTGTGCTTAAATACAGCCTGTGGTGACACAAATAGGTGACAACCAGTCAGCACTACTGGGAGGAAAGGCTGAGACAGCCTCTGATGTGATGATGGCAAACACAGAACTCTTCACACTCTTCTGGAACAGACATTTCTACCCATATTCAGGGCACCCAAAAAGCTGGCAGGGAGGGATTAAGGATGATCCCGTTCCAGCCTTACCCTCTGTGTTGCAGCAGTACCTGGGCAGGGTGGCAGCTGCCCAAGCCCACAAAAGAGGCTGCAGCTTCACAGATGATGACAGCACTGTGAAGACTGCACCACAAATTAAATAACAATAAAATGAAAATAAAGCATAGTTGATACTGTATAATGAACCTGATGAGTGTACTAAATCATTACACAACTACTTCTTACGTGATTACTAAGTCCTTAACTAAGAACATGAAAGAGGAGTGACCAATGTAATTTGCTGGGTTTATGGGCATTATTTGGAAATTCAGGTTCTTATCTAGTTCCTTAGAGATCTGTCTCTTGCCTCATTTAGTAGCAAAAACTAACCAGACTCCTGCTGCCACAGGAACCATAAATGAAATTCTCAAGGTGTCCCCACTCAGGGTGAATGTAAACTCAGTGTAAACCAAAGTGAGTGGCAGTGTGCCATCGTGCACTGAGCTGTCACACGGGGCCCAGGACAAGCAGCTGTCCCCCTGCCTGTGTGAGGGATGGTGACCTCCAGCAGAGGGGCAGGGTGGACTCCTGGCCAAGAAAATCCTTTTACCTGGGCTGAATCCAACAAGGATCCTGGCTCTGAGCCCTTTTCATCAAGGGGTTTTGCATCTTACAGGAGGGTGAGCTCCACAGCCCCAGGAAGACCGTGGTGGAGAAGCTCATCTGTCAAGACGTGGTGGATGAGGAAGTTCTCCAACTGCAGGAGAGGAGCAATGCCATGTGTGGGGCTGAAGAGCTTTTCCTAATTTCCAGTGAGCCAAGTAAGGTTAAATAGTCCCTCTTCAGTGAACTGGGTCGTTGGCAGTGACCTGTTCTGGAAAAGTGGCCTCTGATGCAGAAAATCTGGTGGGCTGTTAAAGAAGTTAAGGCACTTTTCGTTTCCCCTTCCAGGGCGAAGCACAAGTTGATTAGGAACACTAAGATGATTACCTCTGCTTTGCTCTATCTCTCAATTATGCCCTAATTAATATTGATTAAAATCTGGCAAAGGCAGCTTAAAGCACCTGCTGGGCTTTTATCTTCAGTTACTTCTTCACCCAAAACCTACAGCTCTTAAACTGCACAGTACAATCTGATTATTCCAGATCCAGCTGCATCTGTGATGGCTGGAGCCTTCTCCTACAAACTGCAGCTTGGTCCAGCTGTTTAAGGAAGGATTTGGCATGGCAGCTCTTAGCTCGGGGTCCCTGCTTGTTAATGTGAGATCCCACAACAGGCTTGGGATCTCCTAGTTTTAGGTTTAAACCAAATGTCTCTCCCCCTGTACTGGGCACTGGTGAGGCCACACCTCGAGTGCTGTGTCCAGTTCTGAGCTTTTCAGTTCAGGAGGGACATTGAGGGGCAGGAGAGAGCCCAGAGGAGGGAACAGAGCTGGGGAAGGGTCTGGAGCACAAGGAGAGGCTGAGGAAGCTGGGAATGTTTAGGCTGGAGAAAAAGAGGCTCAGGGGTGACCTTATTGCTCTCTACAACTCCCTGACAGGAGGGTGTAGCCAGGTGGGGACTGGTCTCTTCTCCCAGGTAACCAGTGCCAGAGGAGAGGACCATCAGGGGAGGTTTAGGTTGGACAGCAGGAAGGATTTCCTCACAGGAGGTGTCAGACATTGGAACGGGCTGTCCAAGGAGGAGGTGCAGTCACTGTCCCTGGAGGTGTTCCAGGAAAGGCTGGATGTGGCACTCAGTGCCCTGCTCTGGGTGACACGGTGGTGTCCAGTCACAGGTTGGACTCGATGACCTCCGAGGTCTTTTCCAGCATAATCCAACCTGTGATTGTGTGAAGAAAGTGCTGGAGATGGGGAGCTGTGAACTCTGAGTCCCCTCCACCCCCCGTTCCTCCCTGGCCCCTCACAGTGTGTCGAGGAGTGTTTTAAAACACAGGGAAGCGAGTCCTGAACACCGGATGGGCACTGCCCGTGGAAGCACTCTGCTCGGAGACACCAATCACCACTGTGGACTATTTTTAACTATCTATTTTCTACTTATCCGTATAAAATGCATAGGTTTTGTTTACATTATCCCCTGAAACACGCGCTGAGTGTTTCAGGCTGGCCTTTGTTTGCCGCTGCTTTGAGCGCTGCAAACTCAAGCCGCGGCAATGGGGAGAGCTTTTGCCATTTCCCTCGCGGTAAATCGGAGCCCCGGCCCCGCACCGCCGGAGCTCCCCGTGCCCGTCTCGGAGCGCTCCCGTCTGGCCGCAACAGCTCCCGGGAGCTCGCTGTGCCCGCTCCCGGTGCCCGCCCCATCCCGGAGCTCTCCGGTGCCCGTTTCCCCGTGTTCCCCGTGCCCCATCCCGGGGCTCTCCCGTGCCCATGTTCCCCGTGCCCCATCCCGGGGCTCTCCCGAGCCCGTTTCCCCATGTTCCCCGTGCCCCATCCCGGGGCTCTCCCGTGCCCCATCCCGGGGCTCTCCCGTGCCCGTTTCCCCGTGCCCCATCCCGGGGCTCTCCCGTG